TCGGTGTCAAACGGACGCTCTGGATCCCTATAGAAAAAAGACAATTTGCTAGCATTTTCCACCACTAACCAGCCTCCCAAAAAGCATCTGAAACCACCCCTTCGCCACGGCTTTAACCCATTGAGTTCTGCTCCAAACGAGCCCCAATTCCTCGGACGTTCCGTGTCAAACGGACGCTCTGGATCCCTAGAAAAAAAACAATTTGCTAGCATCTTCCACCACTAACCAGCCTCCCAAAAAGCTTCCACCAACAGCCTGCCAAAAGCTTTCCAGCCTCCCAAAAGCATCTGAAACCACCCCTTCGCCACGGCTTTAACCCATTGAGTTCTGCTCCAAACGATTGAGTTCTGGCGGATCTATCATTATTCCCTGGCGCGCTCCCCCTTGCGTCGGCCGGGGTCGGCGGATTTTCCACCACTAACCAGCCTCCCAAAAAGCATCTGAAACCACCCCTTCGCCACAACTTTAACCCATTGAGTTCTGCTCCAAACGAGCCCCAATTCCTCGGACGTTCGGTGTCAAACGGACGCTCTGGATCCCTAGAAAAAAACAATTTGCTAGCATTTTCCACCACTAACCAGCCTCCCAAAAAGCTTCCACCAACAGCCTGCCAAAAGCTTTCCAGCCTCCCAAAAGCATCTGAAACCACCCCTTCGCCACGGCTTTAACCCATTGAGTTCTGCTCCAAACGATTGAGTTCTGGCGGATCTATCATTATTCCCTGGCGCGCTCCCCCTTGCGTCGGCCGGGGTCGGCGGATAGTAGCAGACTTTGGGAGTGTGTCGCTTCAGATTCTCTACACAACAAATGGAACCGCAACCCCATTAGTTTCTTTGGACGGGAGTCACATCTGGGAAGTCCTTCATCTCAAATTTGGATTGAACAATCTCTTCAATATGGATTTTTATGATTTAATCAAAAGTCTACATGGTGTTCAAACTCTTGTGGTTTGCTGCCTCTGGCCTCGTGGTTGCAAGGGTTCTGACACCCCAAAAATGCCGCTCAAGAAGAATTCAACAGTTTGTAATTGTTTCAAGTCTTGTGCGTTTTGCCCAATGCAAGAGTGAACAGCCCGGAAAACCCGGGAACAAATGGAGAGAAAAAAACATATATATAGTAACAACGTCTCTGGTGTCTCTCATTGTGAGTGGCTAATCAATGCTTCGTTTCCGGGACCAAGACATGAACATTTCTGTGGACAAAGCGGACACCCCTACACACATGCATATTTATATGTATATATATATATATGTAACATGTATATATGATTATATATGCGTATTAAGAGAGACCTCCCAAAGACCCCTCTGGAAGCAGGTAAGTAGACAAAAAACCAAAACCCATTGGGCCAGGTGGGTATCCCTTCTACAATACACACCCATATGAGCGGCTCTAAAAACCTATGGCATCTGCCTATATGACAAGCCCACCACTAAACCCCTAGGGCTCCTGGCCCACCTCCTGAGGTTCGGTGGTTGGGGTGGGTGCCAGGGTGGTCTAACCACCTTCTCAGGAGATGGGCCAGGAACCCTAGGGAACATGAACAGCGAGGTTTATAGAGTCGCCCATATGGGTATTGACCCACCATGGCCCTGTGCGGTCTCCCGGTCTTTGACCGAAGAAGATCGCTCATGACGACCGCTGGCTGAAGATCGCATGGTTTGCCGAAGCACCTGACGCCTTGCAACCACTCAGAGTATTCATCTCTTTTTGGACACAGGATGTTGGCCCAAAGTAACACTTGGGTATAGGGTGTTGGCACATGAGATAACATCTATGCGATCTGTGATCTGTGCGATCTTTTGTTTGAACGGGGATGGCCACGGGAGTCGCCGCAGCCCAAAAGCCTTGAAAGTGCGCTAGCAACGAGGGAAAACCTAGGGGGGGATGCCTTGGCCCACCCTGTCAGACGTATCTGAGTCATGGACTTTTTCCAGACATTCTGACATGCATCTCTTGGATTCACCCCCAAAAAGGCGTATGCAGCATATGCATGTTTATAGTGGGAAGACCCCTGATAGTTCGACCTTCTGGATTTTGATGTTCTCGGAATCCACGGTGGAGAATTCAAACAACACATGGCGATCCGGACCGTCCAAACAAGGGTTCCGAGGGTACAAACCCAGTTATGGAGGCTTCGACCCTTGCTATGGATGTTCCAAGGGTCCTTGCAAGGATCTAGAAAAAGGACTAAAACTCATTGATGCTGGAAGATGGTGTCAACAGCCCACGGAAAAGCTGCCCAGGCCGGGAGCCCCTTCTCACCGGAGGCTCCGCGGGTTCTCGCCGGAATCGGAGTTGGCGGTTGTTCGAGAAACGGAATCTTTGGAGCATTTTATTTTTAGACAATTGCTCACAACATTGCGGCAAGCTATTTCGCATTCCTTGTCCTTTGACGCTGTGGCAGTCCAAACTGCCCTTCGTGCACATGGTGTCCTCTGGGGGAGTAGGGTCTGTCCGGGATATTTCGGCAGTGCTTGTGACTTGGTAGGTGATGGGAACCCGAGAGCCCAGTTTCATGACTTCCAGCAATCCAAAGAATCCTGGTTTGTTTCACGAATTCAGAATTTTGTTGAATGTTGTGTGCAACGGCAATGCTTTCGAGAGAAGTTGATTTACCAGGATTTTACAGTGACCAATATCCATGATGCAACACCCCGGCAAGATGCTTTAAAGCCATTCATGCAGTTGCCTCTTCCTGGTAAGCCATCGGCTGTTCTGTGTGGAGGCACGATTTCTTGGCTGACCTCGAGACTGATTTCTTTACGCCCTCGGGCCACGGTAGGAGAACGTTTCGATTTCGTCCAAAATTCGGAGGGGTGGCTTGCTACGGATGAAATGACCTATTTGCTAAATCGCGTTCGGCATTCCAACGCGCAGTTCCACATCACGCCAATTGCAATTTACATTCCCCATGCAGATGAATTCCAGTTCGATTCCGACAATGTCCATGTTCCGAATGATGGCACTACCATTATCCCGATTTTGCTTGGATCTCATTGGGTTGGGGTAGAGATACACAGGACAGTGACACCCACCCAGGTGCAGATTGTCCAAACACCAAATGTATGGGTCAACCGCGTGGCATTTTTCGTATGCAGCTTGCTTCACATTCCGATGCACCGATTGCAGATTCAGGAACCAGCGTACAATGAAATGTCTGGCATGTGTGGGTGGAGCCTGGCATGGAGATGGATCAACATGTTAGGCTGTCATGGCATCTTTTCGCAGGTTGAAAGAGAGCTTGCTACACTGTCGATTGATCGCCGCCGTATTGTTGATCGCACTTTGCGGCACTCCATTCGGCACTGGTATGCAACCAATTGCACACCTGACCTGCAACAAGTGGCCTACACGATCAGACGGTCGTTCCTCATTAACCTGCTTCAACTGCAGACTTCGATACATGCGACTACTGACTCAAATGCTGTGGTGGCGGTGGGTCATCCTATGTCCTGTTTTGAAACTGCGGGGGCTCATGCTACCCCGATGCCGGTTGAAACAGAGGGCCCCGATTCCTCACAAGTTGAGGTACAAACAGAAGCTGCGCAGTCTTCAGTTCAGACAGTGGAAATCCAGACGGACGTCTCAATGTCTAACCTGCAGATTGTAACACAGCCGACCCAAGGCCCGAATACCTTTCAACATCAATTGATTGCTAATCGCCGGGAGGCAAGTATGGCACAACCTAGCTGGGCCGGCTCAGACGAGCTTGACGCAATGTCCATGATTTATCAACCGTTTCTAGGCCAAGGTATGATTCTGCCGTGTATGTGGTGGGATCCAGACACGCAAGCAATGGATTTTGTGTCCAGTCAGAGGATCTATTCCGACCTGCAAAGCGTTTTGTATTGCATAATTGCCAGGCACTCTCATTGGATGGGGGTCAAGATTGTTCGTCATGCTGGAATGGCCTATGGCCAGGTCTTTACCACCGACGTCTTTGCGCCAGATGAATGGAACTCTTTTGTTCATTGCCTAGCTCAGTTCTTGCAGCTTCCTTTTGGTGAGACTAGGATGCAATTGATCTCAACACCGTCACCAGAAGGCATGTGTGGGTATTTAGCACTATATACGGCACTGAATGATATGCAATGTAGGGTCATTCCGGATGTTGAGCATGCACTTCTTCGTTTGCAAGTGTGTGAGCATGCACACGCATTGGTAGATATTGCCAACCAAGCTTTAGACATGTGGCATGTGGTTTCCCAACATGGGGACTTGAACAACTTTGCCTTCGTCACTAGACTCTTGTTTCTCGAAAGGATTTCCCAGGGCCGGGGCTTGGGTCCTTTTATGTTGGCAGGAGCTGTGTTAGGCACGCAAGACTTCGTCTCCAGATCCACATATCCATCTCGATTGCTGCCAGATCCACATCCTGCAGTTGAGCATTCAGGCTCAAGATTGACCCTCTCTTCCCTAGCCACTCGACTTGATCGCTTCTGCGGGGTTCGAGTAGGTGAGGCCTCCAATCCTGGACCTGTGTCGATTCGTCCCACAGAACCTATGCAGCAGATTGTCAAAAGACTCCGGGATTTTCGTCCTGTGAACTCGGTGTGCCCGTGTCAGGCTCGTAGTTTTTCAGCTTTTGTCCGGTTCGGGCCAGTTATCCATGAACATGATGCAGGGGTTGTCGGATCTCTGTCCATTGTCGAGCCAGTCATTTCCTTCCCGACCACATTTCGCAATGTGTCTGTGTGCCATCCAGATTGCACACATGTGAAAGCTACGCAAGGTCGGATTAAGATTCTCAAAGGGATATGGCCTCGTCAGGATGAGTCTAATCTGGCGTGGATTACTGACGCAACGATTTCAGAGTGGGGTGAGGACTTTCTGGTCGATGCCACCCTTCCGCACGTGGGGGTGTTTTTTCCCATGAGGCAGATGCAGGTGGAGGAGGAAGCAATCTCCACAGGAGAATTGTGCTGCGGAGGGTTTTCTGGTTGGACTCAAGCCGCTGGTTTCGTGGCCGAACATGTCACTCCGATTGTGTCCAGTTTTGCCATTGACATTAATCCACTGGCAGCATCCACCTATGCTGCAAATTTTGGTGATGGTCATGTAGAGAAGTCGGCCCTTGATGTGCTTCACCGGGAACAGATCACTTTTATGCGACCTGCACAGCTGAGAACATTTCAATGTGACATTCGGCAAGGGTGGTGGCTGCAGTTCATTCGCTCTGTTGACGTCTTGCTGATGTCACCCCCCTGCCCGGCATGGAGCCTTGCCAACGTGGCTCATGGGCTTTCCAGGGAAGATGGCTTTCTAACCATAGAAATTCTGCTCAAGGCTACCATTCTTCAGCCGGTTGCAATTGGCCTGGAAAACGTAAGTAATTTTATGGCACATGCTCATTACTCGTTTGTCCTTGATGTCATTGATTGGCTGGGGTGGAAGGTCAAGTGGGGGTGCAAAGCTAATTTGTCCGACCTGCTGCCACAGAGCCGTGAAAGGTGTCTCTTGACTTTGGTCAACAAGTCCAATGAGGTGAGGCCGGAGTTTGTCTTTCGTCCATGGCAGAAGTCTTCAAATTTCTTTGCAAACATGTGACATTCTTCGTCCCAAGGATTGCTTATCACATAAGCATGCACCAGATTTGACAACTGAAACCCTGCGCATGTATTTGCGCCCAAATTTTGTTCCAGGGGACAGAAAGGGGGATACTAAGTCCGCCAAGATGTTCCGCTTGAGGAACAAGACACAATCATTGGCCTGCATCCTTGCGCAATATGGATATGCACACGCCTTAGACCAGACAACCTTGGAAAGGGGAGGCCTGTACGGTAACCTGATTGTTGACGGTGACATCATTCGTTGGATGTCCCTTCCAGAGTTGTGCAACGCCATGGGTTTGCTGGTACCATGGACCGCTCCCCTGGATCCCCGTGAAGCATATCCGATGGTGGAGAATGCAATTGCCACTCCCCACGCAATGCTGAGACTGGTGAATACCATAGCTCAGACATCCAAGGTTGAGTGGGACACTACTCCTACTCATTTGATTGACTTAGCCATGTCCCATCGTCTCTCAGCATCCCGTCAAGAGGTTCTCGTCAACTCGGCTACAGGGAAAATCCAAATCAAAGAACTCGCAGTGTCGCCGACCTTACCATGGTCTGATCCACCACCAGACTTTGCAGTATGGTACATTCCCGTGGGACCGGGTTTTTGCCAGATCCGGATCCATCCTGGGCTTCCGGTGGCTCGGGTCTTGCGATTTGTCTTCCCAAACGCGCATGGAGGTTCGATTACATGGCGCCCTCGTGCCTTTCCTGATGTTCAAATTCCTCTGACTTTGGAAGATGTCTCAGGTTACGACACAGTTCATTTCGACGGCATTTTCGGCAATATGCAAATCCGTGAGGGCGAATGCCACGTGATTGCAAGACCTTTTACGGTTGTCTGCTCCCCCAGTGGCCTGTTTATAGTTGCGAAGCAAGTTCGCTGCCCTACTCAGTCATTGCTCATGTCACTTAGTGGCCATATCCCTCAGATGCTTGGCCCAACAGATATGTGGGGCTTTCCGTTGCCTCTCACAGAGGATTGTCCAGATTTGGCATTTATGCTTCCTGCCATTCATGACACACCTCCTCAGCCGATCATTGATGCCTTGACGTGGAAGGACACAGATAGTGGATGGGATGTGCATACCACAGAAGAACAATTGCACACATACATTCGCTTTTGTCGGGAGGTTGGTCTCTTGGCTCTCGTCGAGTCTCTTGGTTGGCAGATGGTCGTCGTGCCACCTGGGGTTGACTATAGGCCTGCCTGGTGTGTCACATTTCGACCAGCCGTGCATTCGCCAAGTGTCTCAAAACCACAATTCCGGTCGATTTGCACCGCAACAATCGCCCAGGCCCTATTTCCACCTGAGACATCTGACAGTAAGGCCGTAAAAGTCGCACTTAAGCCATGGGACACGTGGCACCCAGTTCGCAGTTGGCCACGAGATACACTAGTTGAGGCATTACTCAAACCGTGGCAGCAGGCTTCGCGCCATACTGGAGCCCAGTTTCTCCTAAGGGCTTTGCATGGAGGAAGGCAAATGACCAATGAACATCAACTTGGTACATACATCCCTGTCACTCACTCTAAGGACGAAGTTACGAAGTTTCATTTCGTAATGCAGCAGCATGGAGGAGGGAGTAAGCTTGATGCACACCATCGCTTGAAACAACAAGCAGTTGAATTCCTGCTCCAGTGGGGGGTAACCCGGCTGATGTGAACCCTTTTGTCCAGGAGTTGTATGAAAAAGCGGGCATGTCCA